ATCTATATATTCTGAAGCAACATAATTAGAATTCCTGAGTTACATTCATAAAATTTTCTATCTTCATCTCAACTCTATATAAACTTTACTTCGAAATTTAATATCGATCTCTCTGCTGAAGTATTTGCAAAGTTATACATCCAAGCAAGTAAACACACAACAAGAAAACCACTTGTTTTAATTTCAAAGCTCTCCCTATCGTACTTGGAAATTCCTTTTCCTCTGAGTTGGACCGAAACAATTTCAAACCGAAACAAAGAAGGGTAATAGACTGATTATCTTTACGGTCATTATGAATATAAAATAAGTAATGAATATACCCGGTATCTCATTCTTTCTGGGATTTTCCAAAACCTCGAGCTTACTGAACCCAAAAAGTTTGCCTTAAGAAGACTTCTTAAAACCACCCTCCGTTGCCGGTAGGTAATGCTTTATCGGTCATTAGGGAAACGGCAGGACTAAACTTCCCGCGGTGCGAATTAGTGTCGCGAAAACGTTCCCTTGAATAATTGTATTATGGAAAACAATTAAAATAGAATCATTTATGTAGCATTTGATTCAGACAAAATAATTTAGTCAATTTTAACAGAAAAAGTTATTTTCTAAAAAATATTTCTCGTTATAATGAATTATTTGACATTTTCAATTTGTTACGAATGTTATTTCCAATTTAGTTATATATTGTGAATTTTCGATCTGAAAACCATTAGTTTTCACATGAACTGATTTACAAATTCAAATAAGCTTCATAAAATAAATATCATGAATTTCTGTGTTAAACTTTGTGAATGCTTTTACTATATCAAATATCATTCGAAATAGCATAGCCTAGCATATATTGTATAAAAGATATAAATTAGTAGAAAATACACCCAGTTATTATACCAATTTGCACACTTCACACTTCACATAAGCCAATTTCCATGATGTTATAATTAAAGCTACCAGAGATATTTCTAATGAACTGAAACTTCTCAATGCCTATTTCGTGATTAGATTTTTTCTGTTATTTATAATTTCTTTGATCCACTGTCCGATGCTTATGAAATCGTGATATTTTTACTATGCAAAAAGGCGCCAAAGTACTAATTCATGCGCAAGTAATATAAATGAGCTGCAAAAACAAGTCTGTAAGAAGTTTGCTAATCAAGCTCTTTTTATATTTTATTTTTAATTATGAGTGAGAGTATTTAAAAATCATGAGATACACACCGGGAAAAAATAAAGCAAATTTTATTTATAACGCATCGATTGTGATGATTTTATTTAATTTTACGTCCGTTTTAATTGTTCATTATTTCTGTTCAACTCATTATCCGCATTTAGAATAATGTGTGGTAATTATAAAAATGCGTTACGTACAATTAAAAGAATTATCTGGGCGCAATGTGAATGCAGATACAGTACGCGATTCATTTGAAAAACAAACCAAAATTTAATTTTATACACATACAAAATTAGCATATAATGAATAGTGGAATCGACAAACAAGCGCGCATATGTGATTTATCGGTACAATTCTCTGGACTGGATAAAAAATGGAAAATAATATATTGGTATTCCGTTGTGTATTTGAAATTCTCGTTTGGTAGATTATTACCATAGTGTAGTGGATTGTTTCATATATTTTTATTGCAACTGTAGCGATGTTGTATTCGTAAGCCGCAATTCTCTACGGAGATAAGGCGATTATTCGAATCCTTTTTTGCAGAATAATTGCTACGCTATTATTCTCTGTTTATATCCTTGGTGTCCAATTATATTGAACCTAAGAGCTGCGACATCGTAGTCGCTCGTAGAACAAAGTTTTCCATAAAAAGTTCTCTAAATATACTTAGCGATAAAGAACATATTTCAAAGAAATACAGTAGTATTGCTGGTTAAATTCTTATTGCTATAGCTACATGTTTATTGATTGAATTGTATAAGACTTTCTTATTCGATTGTTCAAAAAAAGGATAGCCTGAAATAATTATATGAGTATGTATGTATAACCATACCTATATATTTTCATGTTGTTATTTAAATTGTTAAAATATATTTCTTTTTTTATCTACCATTTTCTCGAGTCAATTGATTCAACTGTGCAAATGGAAAATTTTTATAAAGCCGATTTGGCTATGTTTATATAGATTGATTTCTACGATAACTCCGAACAAATATAATTTTTTTTTTCGTAATCGCATTCTGTTCGATATACGATATCGTGCTCTCATCAAGAATTTATGAATAATCTGTATTATTCATCATGTTATAGTTAGTATACGCAAAAAATAGGAATTAGTGAATACGGCAAATAATAATTTATTTAGGACATCAGATATGATGAAGAGATTATTATATAATATAGTATTACAAAACAAACGGATATTGAATTAAGGAGAGATAGAAATAATTGTGTAGGTAATTAGGTTTTATTATTAATATATTATTGGTTTGTATAAACAGAGTCTTACGATTTCTTGCATATCATACAAATATATTAATTAGGTGCAATGTTTTATCAACTCAATATTCGTTATTTGATATGATTTATTTCATTATTTATACATGAAGCGTTCGATGATCACAAATTTAATGTAATAAGGTTTTGGAATAGTAATTTGCTGTTATTATTAGTGAATAAATTGCATTTCAAAATTTGATACAACAAATCATGAGGCAGAAGATTAATTTACATCTATGGTTTGGTAAATTGGTAATAATTCAAACTAAATAATACTAATACTCAAAATTTAATTTAAATTTCTTTTATCAGGTTTTTTCTTTCACTCCTTTGATTTGTACTATATTAGCAGAACTCTCAATAAAATTAGATATCAGTTTAACATTTTCTGTTTACTATGTCATGTGTGTCTTGTACTATATGCTTGTCGGAATTAAATTATGCCTAGGATGTATAATATATATTAATCTGTCCGGCGCCGGACACTAACCGATGACGTATCCATGCATTTAATTAACTCAGAACTTTGCCTCGTATGCATAAGTCAAATAGGGTTTATGGTACATTGGTCATATGAACGACGAATATATCAATATTAAATGTTTCACTATTACACATTAGACAATAGTATTTTGTGTAATTAGATAGTATGTGATTATTTAGAAACAGGATTCCAAGAGATACTCGAACTATTTCATCGTGAGGAATAATGTTTTTATAAAAGTCTTCTAAATAGGATTTTCTTTTCAAAGTAAACTGTTGTAATTTGTTTATATTTTATACTAATATTTAAAATTAGTAGTATTTATAATGTATGTTTTTGCAAAATATAATTTTGCTATATATAGCAATAGTTAAATTTGTTTATACACTGCAAGTTTCAACAATCAAATTATATCATAATCTATAGGTCAAGAGTGTTGGTATTGAAAATCAAAACCCAAAAGATAGGAGAACAATGGTTAAATAAATAAGTATTAAATAAATATTGATTACCAATAATTTGTGTAAACAATTTATCTGTATAGAACAGAAAAAAATATATTGTGGTTAGTTAGATATAAAAAAATATCGTTGGACTTCCATAATAAGTAAAAAAACATTCTTAATAATTATTTTCAGAATGTGTTTTAATTTTTAATCTAAAAGACGATAAAGTTTCATATATTTTGATACTCATTTATATCAAATTAAAATATATTGCACTACATTATCAAGTTACTCAAATCGAGTGAAACTACTATATATCTCTTTCAAATGGTGCTGTGTGACTTTATAAAATAAATATACAATCAAAAAACATAAAACAAGAATGAAGTCAAGAGCTTGTTACATGTGTTAGAACATGCCGAGAAGTACTTTATAAGGGTTATAAAACTTTTTCACTGATGGCTTTTTGCAAACACGCACCGGAGTAAAGGCATGTTTTATTTTATAGTGTACATGTACTTTGTATACAATTATATATATATATATATATATATATATATATATATTATAAAAAGCATGCTTTGTGCACGCACGTAAAAACCATGTGGTATTGATAAGCATATCAAGTCTTTTGGAACCACAACCAACAAAGTGAACTTCTTCGTCATAAAGGTAAGAATAGAACTAAAATCATCACATCAAATTCTTCATTATACATCTTATTAAAACAAATTTATCCTAGTTTTGCCTCACCTCTTTTATACATTCTTATTGCATTTGTATACATTATTTGAATAAGATATATACAATATTGTACAAGGCAAGATGTACAGGTAACCCCCGTACAACACGGTAGTTACGTTCCAGAAAACTAGCGTGTTATGCGAATCCGTGTTATAAGGGACAAAGAACTAGTACAAAAAGAGGGGTTACGTTCTAAGAATTCAAAAAAACGTGCTACATATCTTGTTTTTATAATAAATAGTGTTGCATTTTTTTGAAAAAGTAATATGCATTACTTGAATTATATGATTTTTTTCGTAATAATTAACAAGTAAGTGCTATCCAACATGATCCTTTTTTTGAAAGATATCCTCAAACCCTGAGCAGTTTTCTATACTACGTCCAGATCCGAGCATTATTTTTTGCAAAAAAAATTATATTTGCGATTTCTTGCTTTTAGCAAAATGATATTTATATATTACACATATAAAGTAATCTTTATTAAACTTTTATGCTCATTTTTTTCGGATAATCCTAGAAAATTTTTTTCGATGGAACGTACGCGCTCTAATAATATAATAGTTATCTTTTGCACTAGTTTCATTACATTTATTAAGCTATTGTATGGCGATTTTACTAGTTTTAGATTAAATAATGTTTGCTTCTCATAGGTTTTAATATATTTCTTATTTTACTAAAACTCTCCTTAATTTTTAAACCGTGTTACGAGGGGGATGGTCTCAATTCTTAAACCGTGTTAGAGCGAATCCATGTTATAGAAGTACCGTGTTATGCGGGGGTTACCTGTATATCATATCTTGTTATTACCCATAATTGTATATATTTCTATATATTTTATCCTAAACAGTCTAATAATTTATTTTATGATTTTATTCCACAGGCAGCGAATCGCGCGGCGGTGACACGCTGACATATTGGGAAGCCACATTCGCCCAGCCCTATTTCGACAACGCGACGCGGCGGGATGTGACAGCGACAGCAGGACAAGCTGCATTGCTCCACTGCAGAGTTCGAAACCTCGGCGACAGGGCGGTAAGTTGATAACAGATAACTTGGATAAAATAATTATGGTATTAGTTATAATTTGTATCAACAATATCGGTTTTTGTAAAACTTTTTAATCAGATACTCTATAATGTGGTGACCATATTTTTTTAAATCAAAACCGGGACGGCAATTTTTAGTTATGTTAATCCGGGACGGAAGGGGGGGGGGTCTTTAAAGTAGCAAATGCTATTTAAGAATTCATTATTTATTAATCAAAATTGCGCACTTTTGTTTTTTTTGTGCTTTTGAGCTTTGCTTAAACTTCTATTACATTTTCTCTATGATTAATATAAAAAAGTAGCACTTATTCATTTGTACGGACATCATTTTTTATTAATTAAAATTGCGCACTTTTGTTTTTTTTGCTTTTGAGCTTTGCTTAAACTTCTATTAAATTTTTTTTTATGATTAATATAAAAAGTAGCACTTATTCGTTTGTTTTCATAATTGAGCTTTGCTCAAACTTCTACTAAATTTTCTTCATGATTAATATAAAAAAGTAGCACTTATTCGTTTGTAAGGATATCATTTTTATTAATCAAAATTGCGCACTTTTGTTTTTTTTTTTGCTTTTAAGCTATGCTTAAACTTCTATCAAATTTTCTTCTTAATTAATTTAAAACAATTAGCACTTGTTTGTTTGTTTTCATAATTTTTGTTAATTTTCGAAAAACCGGGACAAAAGATCTAAATCTAGGACAAATATTGCTTTTACAATTACTGAGGCACAAGGTAGAATCCGGGACGTATGGTCACCTTATTTATAATCCTTCCTGAAGACTCAATTAGATATTAGTCCATTAATCATCGTTGCACAATTTTAAAGCTGAACAAACAATAATTAATTAACTAAATCATGCAGTTCGTTATCTTCATTTCTTATGAAACTTTAAAATTTCAATATTTTTCAAAAATTCCAATATTTGTCTCCACTTTACCCTCTATTTGATGTGGATCACTTGGTTTAATTAATTATTTAGCGTAAGAATTATCCCGTCACAATAAAGAAGTGAATAAAAACAATCATTAATTTTGCAATATATATTGTTCTTTGATTTATTACATGCTTCTTCTCCCATTTCTTTTACTATATCATTAACTTATAATAAAGTATAAGTATTTATATGCTCACCCTCTACCCCAAAGGGTCTTGGTTTAAGTACAGAAAGCTCTGGTAAAATCTTGACCACTATGCTCCAAATTGAACTTTTAGAAGGTTGAAAGTAGATCTAAAGCTCCGAACTTTGTAAGCTATTGTTTGATAAAATTATTTTTATAACTTAGGTATTTTAGTGATAAATAACTAAGAAATAATGATATCCACCTGTTGTTTGAGCAGCGATCAGAACTTCCATGAGCTTACTTACTAACTACGTAGCTTTATTATAGATGGCAACCCAAACAGTTGTCTCATCTCTGTGATCAATTTGTAAGAGGAAAGTTTGAGGTATATCAATTTCTCTAATAGTGTTAACTATGAGTGATGACTTATTTAATGCAGCAATGCTAATTGAAGGCTATTTTCACTTCAAAACATATTGCTATCTATATTTCCACGCGAAAACCGATGTCACTACTGCTTGACATCAGGCTGCTCGAAACGGGATGATAAATAATTGAAATTCCAAAACTAAGTAGTTGATATCATGTCAAAAGCAATGCAAAATATAATATTGTTTATATAATTCGATTGAAATGTGGATGTGAACTTGTTAAATGCAAAAAATCTAATAAAAAAATTATTATATTTATAATTAAATTTATGGAAATTGTACTTTTTTGTATAAATTTTGCATTAATCATTATTTTTATAATCAAAGACTAGATATTGTAACACGATCTAAGAAGAGCAACAAAAATAAATTTTCAAATGTATAATTATCTACGTTATTTAATTTTCCCAAATATAATATTGTTGTAAATAAATCATTAATATGAATTTTGTCAACCCTACAAAATCGAAAGCTATTGGTATGCATCATTTCCCTGCGCCATGGCTCATTTCCATTAACATTCGACAACGTTTCATGCGACGATTGATATACGTTTAGTGCTCATGACGCAAATGCGAAACATGAATGCACAAAATCTATATAAAAGTAATTTCAACTTGTCGTACTGATTTAATTTCGTGAATTGAGAATGTTTTTTAATTACACTCATCCGTCACTGTCATTCATGTGTTATTGATCTATGGTCGAATTTTTAACGATTTTGTGTCAAATATTTATATACGAATTTATTGTTAGAGGTTGTATATTTTTCAAGCAATAAAAATAAATGAGATAAAATACCTTATTTTTCCATGGGTTCGATTTCAGAACTAAAATATTCAAAGCGTTTTACATTAAGTAACGATAATTATTCATGATATGTAATTGCGTTTTGCAGACACGATGTTTGCTAAACTTAGGTGTTTGCAAACATATTTACATTATGGTAATTACTGTGATTTGATGCATATTAATATTACTGATGTTAGTTATTTGCTCAAAGTCGTAAGCAGAACATATGCAATTATATATATAGTTCTTTAAAATATATCTGAAATTTCGAAGTTTATAAGCAATCTTTTTTAAGATGAAATTATTGTAGTAGTATTTTAGAGAGTATTTGGTAAGAGACATAAATTTTACGCAAGTTATTAATGATTGATTTGAGAATTTAGAAAAAAAAATTAAAAACAGTCATAAAGATTTAATTGTAAAAGGTGAGCTAAAGACCTAAAGGTCTCAAAAAATTGGCATCTGGCCATCCCTCTAAATAATCTGATGAAGAAGATGAAAAAAAATGAATCTGAATGCTATCGTATTAACTACGGGAAAGTTAAAAAATGTTTTTTCACAGATTAGCTATTGTCTGAAAAATACAAATTACAATTTTTTTGATATTGTTCAAGCCTTACAAATTTCATACATCTATCTTCTTCTACCTGACATTAACAAAATAAATCTCCTAACTTAGCATAAGTACTAACCAAGCTAGTTATAAGAAATTTAATCATTCTGTACATAAATCTTGAACCTTAAACATCTCGCAAATGTATACTATTAATAACCAAACTTTCATATTTTTTTAGAATCACCTATTTTAAAGGTCTGATATAGCCATTTTAATAATAAATTATATCTGGTCCTTCGGGGTAATAGATTGTTCGTGTGTAGTATAATTAATTACTTTTAACAAACATTGCGCCGGGCTTCTTTAGATATTCTTATTTTTTTCTAAAATAGTTAAAATCGGAATTTTAAGATTAGCGTAGTTCATACTGAAGAGGAAAAGTCTATAAAAAGGACTGTGAAATATCCAAGTATATCGGTTCAGTAGAAGTTGTGAAATCGTGGGTATCGTATCGAAAAAGACAGTTTTGAGGAAAAAGTTTTGCAGAGGAAGGAAACAGGAGTATTATCAAAGTAAAGCTATATCTCTACTTTGAAAATATAAAAAATAAACCAAATCAATTTTTTTTTAATTCTAGACCAGAATATTATATGATATTGATTAATATATTTCTCATACTTCAAAGTATATCTTTTAAAACTCTATATTATATCTTTGTCCTTTTTTATTTAATGCAAAATTATATTGAGTTATTATAATATATTAATTTTTTTTAATTATTGTTACAACAGCAATCAGAACTCTTACTATTTATATGTTCTATAAGCTGTTTGGTTCAACGCTTACGATCTAAGGTATTATGAGAGGCAACCCATCGGTTAACCATTCTCTTATGTGTGGATTTATTATATATTAGCTCTTACGTCTAATATTTTACATATGATTGAGTGATGCAACTATGTCCACAAGAGACAATTTCCACTGGCAGTTATATCAACTATAACCACAAGTGGAAATTTGACATCAAAGTTGCCTGATGTCGGGCTACGGCGATATCGGAAATCGAACCAGGGAACCCAAAACTAGTTGCTGCTAGCCCGCGCTCTAACCGATATCGCCACCGCTGGCCCATTATATATTAATGAAATATTTTTTGAATTTAAATAATATATATTCGAAGGTAAACATTAAAATATAAATATAAAAGTACATGTTCCAAAAAATCTAAACTTTATATAAAAAAGTATATACTCGATATCCAAACAAACATTTTGCGCTCTTTATAGGAAAAATTGGACTAAAAAAACTATATGACTCGGGGTATAGGACGATGAAGCATTTGATTAATATCTGTAAATTTATCTGTTTTCACTTTGACACTGTTTACGGAAATCTTTCGGTCGTCTAGCACTTATCCTTTTTGCTTTTGTCTTCGCAAGCGAGCATGCTAAGGAATTGTATGATGGTCCTCGTGGGACGACCAGTCATGCGACCGACGCTCAAGTACGAAAACTGTGGCGCTCTGGGCAAAACGCTTACACCTGAAATATTGAATCATATGTTCGGTTTGCTGGGAAAATAAATTTATTATGTCAAATTTATACACGATAGATATTTTATTGATAAATGTGAGTGTTGAGGTTAGAGCTTCAGTAATACTTCTAGAAAATAGGCTGAGGTTATAGAAATATTAAATATTTTGCATAATTGCATAACAAGCTTTATTCTAATAAATATTTTCATTAATAGTATTTACCTGTGACATCCATATGCAGCCAGCACATTCCGGGACAAACAAATTCGTTAAGAAAAGCTGCAGCAATGCAAGCATCTCCGTAGTGGTGACCTTTGTTAGTAATATCGACTGACGGTAAAGATCTGAGTTCTTTTGTGTAGAATTTCCATAAGGGCATACGCCAAACTCGATCACCTAAGATAACAGACAACTTTATTATTCTCGATATTTGAAAAAAATTTAAATAAAATTTAGTAATAATTTCGCAAAAAGAATAATCTTATAAGATTTACAGAACATTGCAAATAGATTTATATATAATAGATTTATAAATAAGTCGTGTATGGAACATCGATTTGAATTATGTATACCTCACAGGAAAGCTCCCACTACATATACTACTGTGTAT